AAACATATTCTCACCAAAACCAAAGGAAAACAATTTCCTTAAAAAGCTTAAACTTTAGCGCGTGAAGGAGGTATATGGAAAATAAAATGCTAGCAAAATCTTGACTATCAAACAGCTATAAAGTTGGAAAATGGAATCTCCCTAGAAAATTAAGCATATCAAACACAGCCTGAAACTATTGAACTTTTCATTAAAAATACCACAACACACCCTAGGAGAAAAAGACATAAATGCCCTGTGAGAGATAAGACTTTAAGAGATTCCATTATAATTTATAAATAACTAAATAAGCACTAAGCAGGTAGCACTAATGACCAAAAGGGGATGAAGTACCTGGTGGAGGAAACGCGGACGCTGGATGGAAATCGGAAGTGAAGACAGAAGCCTCTGAAGAGTTGTGTTGAAAATTAAAATGAGGAAGGTTTAGTCGTTTAGGTTAAGTTTTAAAAAAAATGGGCCTGAGACGGAGACCTCTTGGGCCTCTCCTCAGGTCTGGCCTTGGTGATGAGAGAACTCAACCACTTCAATCGTAGTTCCAAATAATATCAATTTATCAGGACTTGTCCTATGATTAATGAAGAAGCTTCAAATGCCTATCACGTAATGTTTGTCATATTAAAACAAAGCCATCTTCCATACACTATTATGACATATTTGGTAAGGTAAATTGGATAGTAGTACACAATATATATATATATTATGAGATTGGGACTCCCCCTTTCATTGTCTAATTTTTTTTCCCATTTGTATGCCTTTTTCTATGGCACAATGGGTTATTAATTTCATTGGTTTTGGTTTTTGTTATTTTTTTGGCCAAAATTTTATCAAAGAACACAGCCAGAGTTAGGGTTAATACCCTAAATAGTCATTAAACTTTGCTAAAAGTTCTCAGAAGGTCACTGAATTTCAAAACTTCCCTAATAAATCACTGAACTTCGCAAAAAGTTCATAGGAGGTCACTGACCTTCAAAACTTCTCTAAATAGTCACTGACCATTGACAAAACTTCCTAGGAGGT